AAATTTTTATTTTCTATTGAATCCTAGGAAGAAAATTTGCATTAACATGAAGCAACTTTAAATTTAAACTGGGGCAAATATTTCTTTAACTAAAGTGTTTCACGCCTCAGAAATTCTCTCTCCTTTATTATTTTACTAACAAGGAATAGAGAAGCGTTATTCAAGATGGATATTCCACAAACAGTGGCGATGGCTTCACTATTATGAAGCCTAACAACTCTGTCTAGGACTATGTTCGATTCAGACTTTCCTACAGTTGTTATGGTTACTAATGTAGAAAGGTTTGGAAACATATTTTCCTATTATAATGAGCAAATTACAAAAGGAGACCTATTACAGAGAACTTGATCCCACAGTGAATTTTTTTTCGATCGGAATGATAATCTAGAGAATATATGATGTCATATTTCATGTCCAGGTGCGAACAGAGGAAAATCAAAGAATAAAAAAGTAGGGCGTAATTGAGAAGTCAAGAAGAGAAAGGAGAAGCAGTTGATCCTTACCCTAAGAACGAATACAAAAGATGAAACAAATATATTTGAATAGACTAGTGTAGTGCACATGCTTTACGCGTGGACATACTTATAAAATAATTAGCAATATTTTTTTCTATCAAATGGAAACCAACACTTTATAGCCAATATTAATAAATATGATATTTATGTAGTTATTCTTTTAATAAATCTTTAACACTTTTTGGGATGAAACTTGGTTTTTGTTAGTAAGACCAGATAAAAAGCCCAAGTTTGATGCTTGCAATACCCATTAATCCTCAAGTTTAATATTTTTAATTTATAAATGCAGTGATAACTACACTATTCTACTCACATTATTCCTCTACTACAATAGAGAAAATTTTAATTGCCAACAATTACTAAGAGACATTTGCATCATTGAGATACGCACTTTTTTCTATCAAATATTTTAAAAAATAAGATAAATCTTATATCTTTTGTGTCGTCAACAATGTCAATTTGACTTGAAGGGTTTATGCACCCTAAATAAACATACATATAATATTAAAATGTTTAGTTATATAAAATTAACTTTTTTAGATTCTATTTATAAAATGTTTAATATTATTTTAAAATATGTTTATGAATTATTATTTTATATATTATAGTATTATTTATCAATATATGTTTTATCTTAATAAAATAATCATATTATACAATTTGTATATGTGTATGTGTATATATAACCATCAAATTTATATACACTCAATTTTATACAACTGACATACACATTTAAAAATAATTACAAAAGAATAAAACGATAGTGGGAATAATCTTACCGATACTTGCATGTATAAGTTAGAATGAAATTGTTTCAAACCCTAACAAAATGAAATATAAAATTAACTAAAATATGAAGGAGTAAAAATGATAAGGAATAAAATAAAATATGAACGGATAAAGAAGAATTATATAAAATGTTTTGAAATTTAAAATAAATTACAAATTAGATCTCCAGTGGAACTGTAAGTTTTATGGAATGATCTTGTTGCTATGAGATATACCATGATTTTGAGGAGAGCAATTGACCTGCAGAGAGATAGAAGAGAGGGACAGAGAGAGAGAGAGTATACTAGGGGTGTGCAACGGTCGGTTCGGTTCATTTTTTACTAAAATTTGAATAACCAAACCGAACAGCCTATAATTCAAAACCGAACCGAACCGTTGCAAGTCGGTTTGGTGCAGTTCGGTTCGGTTTGTTCGATTCTAACTTCATCAAACTTCTTATCAAACAACAAACTGTGTTAAAGAAAAAAGATATCAACAAAATAGGAGATTATGAAGCATTAAACACTGATATAATGATATTGTTTTTAACCCATAATAATTCAGAAAATGAGTTTAGGGTTTGAGTCTTTGACTCTTTGGGTAATGATATTGTTTTTAACCCATAATAATTCAGAAAATGAGTTTAGGGTTTGAGTCTTTGACTCTTTGGGAACAGGTCGAGTAGGGTTTGAGATCAGAATGTGAAGTATTACACTATTTCGGTCGGTTCGGGTTGAAAAGTTTTTAAACTGATCCGAACCGCCCTACTCATAAAACCGATTTTTCCGGGTCAGTCGGTTGGTTTTTTTGGTTTGGACCGAACCATGCTCAGCCCTAGGGTATACACAATTTCATACAGTTACAAAATATGAAGAAAAAATATTAACATGGGCAATATGTTAGAACTTTTGCATTGAATAAATTGTAGTAAAAAAATGAAGAAATTAGCATGCATAAAATCCCAAAATAAATAGTATTAGAAAATCTGGCCTGATCGGGAGCGGATCATGCAAACACTGCCCTAGAAGATTAAGGACCCGCCTATCGTCCTGGCGCAGATGATCCCCTCTCCCCTAGTGGGGAAAAAATCTTCAGAATCAGTCGGTCTCTGTACTCGGGCGAGAGTGCAAGACTTCTGCTCAGATGAAGAAGGTTACCCAAAATAAAAATAACAATCGAAGAGATTTTGTTGAGAGAGAAGAGAAGAGAGAAGACTGAGGAGAGAATTGCTTTTCGTTGTTGTGCCTTTCGAGCTGGGTTGCCTCTGAATTTATAAGGTTCGGAAACCCTGAGAGCCGTTGCTGGATTCCGCACGTTGCTCAGCCGTTCCGCACGTTCCTTATAATTTTCGCAACTGTTACGCATGTTGCATGACTGGGTAAAAGAAATAAGAAAAACGTGTAAAAAGAAGTTTGCCAAAATCGTGTGCGTGCGGTGCAGCGTGGCATGGCGCGCGCGCGGTGTGGCGAGGCGAAGCGTGGCATGCCGTGCGTAGAAGCATTATAAACCCTCTACTATTCATCAACTTAGTCCATGTGAGACTATTCATTAAAAGCAAAATTGTCTTTTCTCCTCTACAAGGCCAACATAAAATAACGGGGGTTAAGTAAGTCTTCAAGTTTTGAACGAATGGGGTAATGATTAGCGAAAGTAGTTGAAAGAGCAATTGCATTTAGTCTACAATTTTGAGCATAGTGAATGTTGGTCTTTACATCAGAAGTTCAAAAAATAATCACAATGGATTGTGGCTAATTGAATTGAGTAACTTATGCATTGACTTTTATAATTAAACACTTATGCTTTAAAGTTCCTAATAAAATGTTGAATTAATGCCAGTAGATGAGGGATAATGGATTATTAATTAAGTGAATTGGGGAATTATTAAACTCAGGAATTATAAATATTAAGAGGGGCAAAATAGAAAGTCAAAAGATTTAACACACATATTCTCTTCAATGAGCAGTAAACTTTTACCAAATATGTTGTTCTCGTATTTTCTCTCTCAAATTAAATCCTTACATGGTACGAGATACAATCTCCTTTATATTCATCCTCTTATGTTACATAAAGAATAAATGTTTATTTTGTCGAAGAGAATAATGGTGTGATTTATTACTTCAACAAGCATATTTTTCTTTTGAGCCATTTAAACTTTTGACTTAAAAGTGAGTTGTAGCAGAAATTGATCAAAATATACTAAGATGTTTATAATAAAACAAATATACTAAATATATAAGCGGATATTTTATGAGCACAAATTGCATATATTAATTCTCATATTCTGTTTACTTGATGTACAAATATGAAGAAATATTTATTTATTTTTAAATGATCTTAAAGATCAATTATGATAAATAATAAAAAATAGTTACTAAAACATTTAATAAATTTAAAACTTTAATATTCATTTGTGTGAGGATTCTAAGAATATTTGCTCGTTTTTGAATGATTTTTGCAAATCGAATCCAAGAAAATAGTGGCAAAAATAAATTATGAAAATATTTAATAATTTGCTATCCGAGTCGGATTGCTATTTATGTGAACCAACTTAAATTTGACCCATTTACAGCCCACATACCACTACCTGAGAAAGAGTATGAGGCCCAAATTTTGCCCAAGTTATGTACCACAAGAAAAAAAATGGAGGCTGGCATTTCTCGCGGATTGAGAAGAGAGGAGATCGGCCAGGAGAGATTTTTCCAAACAAATAACTGAAATATTTCAATAACTCTCTTAGTTTACCTCCATTAAGCTAAACTCTCTCATTAATTGTAGTGATGATGTCCTTACTCTATAACTAAGGGCGTAGTGCTCGATAAAATATCAAATGGTTCGATTATTATTCTTTAAAATTATACCCATTTTTTGTTCTAATTCACAGGGTTTATTTACAAATTTTAAAAAGTTACTGGGGGTTTTCTTTGAAATAGAAAAGTCATTAGGGTTTAGTGTGATTTTGAAGGTTCACAGGGGCTAAAAGTTCGTAAGGGCTTAGTGTAATTTATACTATTAAATAATTATAATGAGAAGTAACTATTATAATATGTTGAAGGTATTAAGTGTAATATATAGAAAATATTAGAAAAAGCTAGCAAAATTAATGCAGCATAGTTAATTCAGAATTAAGTTAACAAATTTCGAGTTGGAGGGGCGTATTTAAGAAAATGTATAAAATTAAAAAAATAATTACAATAACTACATAATAATAATTAATTCATATATTTTTAGAGCAACCTGGTTATAAAATTTTACTTATTAACACATGGTTTAATTATTCAATAAAAATTTAAAATTTAAAACATATATGTTCCTATGCAAAACACGTGCATTATGCTAGTATGATAAAAATAGAATAAAATTTTACCTTTTATCTTAATTTTATTTTTTATCCAGTGTTAGTCACAATTTATTATAATTTAATGCTAGTTCTAGTCCCAACCCGAGAAGCCGTCAGCAGCGGTTTCGGATGCAACAACAAACCACTATGCTAACCCGAATTCCCTATTGGAGTCGGGTTATACTATTTTCAATGATACCTTGCCCATTTAAAGCCCAAACACAAGGACTCTTCGCCAAACCGCACCGGCCCAAAATTCGCAAACCACAAAGATCAGCCACGTGTCCCTCTACTCCTTCCCGCCTCTCTCTTCAACAGCAGCCACTCAAAATTAAGCCAACAAAAAATAAAATAAAATAAAAACATACAAAAAATATATATTAAAAAAAAAAACTCAACTCACTCACTTTCTCAATGAGAGCCTGCACCTTTGTGAATCCCCCCTCTCCTTTTCTCCCCACTCGCAAAAATCAACGATCTTCATCCTCTCCTTCGTTAACCCTTTCAAATTCTAGGGTTTCGTTATCTCTAATATCACCAAACCGCATCAATCGCTGCTACAAACCGCAAGCAAAGAGCAGGCACGAGGATGAAGACGAAGAGGGGGCGAGGCACGTGCATTGCGAGGTCGACGTGGTCTCGTGGCGGGAACGGAGGATTAGGGCTCGGATCTTGGTGGATGCGGATGTTGACGAGGTGTGGAGAGTGCTCACTGATTATGAGAGGCTCGCTGATTTCATCCCTAATCTCGTTTACAGGTAAAATTTTTGAATCTTTTTCCGTTTAAGTCCCTGTTATTTATGATTTCTGATTTTGGGGGCAGCGGGAGAATTCCTTGTCCTCATCAAGGGAGGATTTGGCTAGAGCAAAGAGGATTGCAGCGGGCGTTGTATTGGCATATTGAGGCTCGAGTTGTTTTGGATCTCCAAGAGTTTCCGGATTTAGTAAGTGGTTGCAATACCCTAAGTTGAAGTTGTTACTGTTGCTTCTTTTAATAGAAAAATTAACCAAAGTGTTAAAGATTGCTGCTTGATAGTCTAAAGTTGAGCTATTTATAAATAATAGTTTGCGTTTCGTCATATAGTTCCATCTATGGAAAAAGAACATATATCTGAGGAAGAAATACTCTGTTACATGCTTGAGGAGACTGGTGGTGTTTATATTAACAACAATGCATACGTTTTTCTTATCATACTTCAAAAATGACAACATTAGAATCAATAGTTTATATCATCTTAACGTTAAATGACAGGGTTGGATTAATGGGAGATTTATCTATTATTGTTCCATTCAGAGCTTTAGGTGAGATTGTTTTTTTCTCTTCATGCTTATGGAACTTTGATCTGTATAGACAATGACGAAGAGAGTAAACAACACTGATTTTGTAGCTTTCAGCATAAATAAACATCTGGTTCTCTTGCAGCGCATCTGGGAAAAAAAATCCAAATCTGAAAAACAGGTTTTCAGAATTGAACCTTAGAAAAACATATGGTTTAACCTCCTATGGATTTCTTTTGAGAGGAACCTCCTCTACAGTGTTGAGAAAATATAACCAGCGTCAGTTTTTGGGAAGACTTCAGGGGGAAAACACCCATAATACAAGTGTGTCGAGAAAGTCAAAATTTTGTGCCTACTCTCCTGGAAAAAATAAAAAAAATGAAGGTGAACACCAACGTGTCAAGAAAATAGATTATTTATAAATTGAGTTTTGAAAACACTAAAGCTACGTGCTTTATGGGCGTGTTTGTTTAGTTGTAAGTGAAAATTGTAAGTATGAAAGTCACTTATTCTTGAGACTTCACTTGTTTGTTTTATTGAAAGTGATAGTGAAAGTGAGATCCAAAATATAGTTCACATTAGATTTTTTGCAATTTCAACATCCCCTAAAAAAGTGCAGAAGTGAGCTATGAAAGTAAAAAGTGGGGACCACATTATATTAAAAATATTATAATAATTAATATATCAGATTTGTTTCATCTTCAACGATATTTCCTGTCCTCTAATTTTTCTCTCACGCCTCTTTTCTCTTCCCGCTGTATTATTCCCCTTTTTATTTTTTACCTCCATAGTACTAATCCCACTGTTTTCCCCCACGTTTTGAATACTATTCTCATCATTTTTGGTTGCAACAATAGTTTGAAATATGTCACTGATATTTGTTTTCATTGAAAATAAATAATTGGGTTATTTATATTTTGTAGCTTGGGTGTTCTTTGTGATTCTCTCATCTCCATTTGCAAGTATTACAAAAATAATTTGATCATAATGTTAATAATACCAAGAATTTCTTTTTTGCTGAAATTTTGCCAATGAGATTATAGTAGAACTATCCATGATGATTGCTTAGTTTTGGTATATATGACTTAGGTTTTATTTATTTTGTTAAATTAGTGTTGATGACTACATGATCTCAGTCCTGGATATGGTTCAAAATGGTAAATAGAGAATGAGAGTGATTTAAAGAGAAATATGGTTTTTTAATATATAAATAAACAAAATAATGTTGCCACATCATCCTCACTTTTCTACTTTCAATAATAACTTGTTTTTGCAAACAAACAATGTATGTCACTTGTATGCTGACTTAGATGTATTTTCGTACTTTCAAAAAAAAGTCACTTTCATACTTTCAACTTAGTTGCAAGTAGACAAACACCCCCTATCTTCTGCTGAAACATGCATCTGATTGAAGTTAGCTTCGTTTCCTGGAAATTTTCTGCATATTAATGATATGTTTTGTTATAACTATTCCTACAATGCTGAGCTCAATTGTTTTTTCTGTTAGCCAGATTTTAGTATTTCTTAATAAGTAAGATTTGATGACACGCTGATTATTTGAGAGTTTATGTGTAAAATTTTACGATTATGTCAAAATTTGACCTTTGTTCCCAGGAGATTTCATCATAAATAGCTAGTACCTGAAAATAACTTTCGGATAACAGTAACAGCTGTGAACGAATTCATTTTAGGCTGATGGGCGCGAGCTTCAATTTTCAATGGTTGATGGGGATTTTAAGAAGTTTGAAGGGAGATGGTCAGTCAAAGCTGGTCCAAGGTAGGACCCAAATACTATTAGAATCTTATTAAGAATCTTTCGTGCAATGTAGTTAATGGCTTTGTTTTAGTTATCATTCTAAGCATCAGGAGTTCCACCGTATTATAGTGTAGTAAGTTACCTCTTACAAAATGACAGCGAAGCATCCTTACTTTTGATTACTGTTGCTAGAGATGGATATAATCTGACCGATTTGGTTTCTTGACAAGTACATTAACTTTTGTTTTCCCAAGATCTCGAAAGAAAACAAAAGTCACATCGAGCCCTTTTTTATCTTTTTAAAATTTGTTCTCATCATCCACGAAAAGTCATTTAGAGCCCTTATTTGACCTAGGGTACCATTATTTTTGAGGTATGAAACAATACTTTTCACTTTTTCGATATTCATTTGGAGTACATTCTGTAAAAAGTTCTGATACTGAACAGTTCCTTCTGCTATATTTTTGAAACTTTCCGAATATTGAGGAAATCATTGAAGTGCCCATAGCTTGTCCTTCCCTTCCATTTCTCGTCTCAATTTCATTTTGATAGCAAGTCCTTTTTTCCTAATTCTGCCTTCACCAAGTGTTACCTCCTATTCACAGTCAGTTATCGTCAAGTTTCTGTTAACAACTTCCCAACATTTGATGGACCATACTTGATCCTTAAGCTTGAGCCTCAAACTATGGGCTTTTACACTGTAATTACAATTTAATTCATCTTACCTATAGAGCTGTAGTGCCTTAAGTTGCCTGGCAGGTAGCTCAAAGCATGTGCTTTGCTTTCTTTGGTTTGTCATTGAGGAAGAAACCCTGAGAATCTCATTTTTTTATATATTGAAGATAGTAAGAGTAAAGAAAAAGTAGATAATTGATTTTGTATCATTTTGAATTCTTTGAACCTCTGCTGTTTCCTGGATATATTTGGGCATGTTGAATTTTTTAATGTTAAAATGTATCCTCTTTACTTGATGTTACACTTGGGAAAGTCAAATGATGGAGGGGCAACGTATTTGGAGCTGTAGTCTATAAGGAGTATAGTACAGAACTATGGATCAATTTACCTTGCATTTAATGATTTATCTTAAGGAAGTCTTAAGAAAAGATCATAAATCTTTTTGACATAATTGGATGCGATCAGAATGTTTCAGCTATAATTTCATTTTCATATATCATAAGGAACTTTCTTTTTTGGATAAATTGTTAAGGCATATCAAACATGTGGTTGAAATTTTTTCTTTTGGTACTTATTTTCTCACAGGTCTTCAACATCATATTTGGCATATGATGTCAGTGTGATACCGAGATTTAATTTTCCAGCCATTTTTATTGAAAGAATTATCACCTCTGATCTTCCTGTGAACTTGCGAGCCTTGGCTTGTAGAGCTGAAAGAAGCCTAAGAGAAAGTGAAAAGATACCTGTGGCTGGTAATGGTGCAGGAGCCATCTTGTCCAATGTCGCATCTACATCTGATATCCAATCCTCCAATAATTCCAATGAAAAGTTTGCGGGCCTTGGTGTTAGTACTGTTCCTGTCTCATCTAATATTGAGTACAACAGCAATTGGGGTGTATTTGGAAAGGTCTGTAGCCTTGATAGGCCATGCATGGTAGATGAAGTTCATCTTCGTAGATTTGATGGCCTATTGGTAATTCTTTTATCTTAGACTTGTGATCACTAGCATTCTACTTAAGTGAGAAAGACACTTCATGTCTTTGGTTCTGTGATAAAATGCTTTGGATGAAGGAAAATGGAGGGACTCACCGATGTGTAATTGCTAGCATCACTGTTAAAGCTCCTGTGCAGGCAGTGTGGAGCGTATTGACTTCCTATGAAGAATTGCCAGAGTATGTACTTTTATCTTCCTCTTTGCTACAACAGTTTTATGAATTGTTTTAATTTTCTCTTTTATTTTTTTATAACTTGCAATCATGGCTTACATGATTTGTTTCTCTTTCATCTTTTTGTTTATATGTTAGTTGGAAGATAGAGATTGCTTTTACAGTGTAGACCAAGTAAAAAAAAAATTCTTCCACAATATGAAAGCTGAATTTTTCTTTTTTCCCCTTTCGCGGAATTATCATAACTGAATTTTTCATTCATATAGTAACTACGCTATCAATGATTAGCAACAAAGTCCAGTTCTTTTTTTGTGGAGAATGTACATATTATAGTAGATAGGTATTCTGTACTCATATGGATAGGTATTCTGTACTCGTATGGACAACAGGGCAGGTTTTGGATTCATGATCATCTTTTTCCCCTATAACTATAGACTTATTAAAAGTTCTTATGACCTTTTCTTTTGCAGGATTGTTCCAAATCTAGCAATCAGTAAGATTCTATTGCGGGATAATAACAAGGTTCGCATTCTTCAGGTAAAATTTGTAGAAAACCTAAAGGTGGAAATATGATGCAACTAATGATTTTCACATGATGCGCTCACTTTCTTCTTTAGCAGCAGAAATTAGTCTCAACTAACTATATTTTTTCTTAGAGAAATAAATTACCCTATTTGGTGCCCTTTTTTAGGATCAGGAAAGTCTAGGAGCAGTCGCTCAAAGCGACTGCCCCACCTTACTCGCCTTCTAATAGGGCCATGTCAGCACGATGTTCAATCTGTTAAGGTAATCTATGCCCTATTTCAGTAACTGTAATCATTGTTTTAATTTATTCTCTTTGCTAAACTTAAGTGAGAGGAAAGATATAATGAAGGGCTAATTTCAGAAAACACTGAACTTTCAGGTGTTGTTCTAAACTCCCTTGAACTTTTCTGGATCATTAAACTCCCTTGAACTTTAGGGGTTATTGCGCATAACCCCCTAAATTTTTTTATTAGATTATAATCACTCACCCAGTCACCCTTAGGCCCATACTCACCGCATACCTGCACCATCAGAATTGATACCAGTAGCAGTAGGTAACATTGATAATTTTACATTGGAATTTCTAAATTTGCAAATCTACATGAGCTAAGTGTTTTGGGGATTTAATATTTGCAAATTTAAAATTTTTTGTTCACTTAATCCTTGAAAGTAGATAAGTGGATCAATTTTTTATTAGATAATAATCACTTTATACAAATTATATAGCATAATAGAACTTTTAAAGTAGGTTTGAAATTAAAAAAAGGATATGCTTAAAGAATGTGAAAATTGCAATCTATTTGATTTGAAATTAAAAAACGATATGCTTAAAGAATGTGAAAATTGCAATATACTTGGGATAGAGGCTTTGCTGCTGCTGTTGTTGTTAAAGAATGTGAAAATTGCAATCTATTTGATTTTACGGATAATTTCAGAAACTACCCTTGAACTTTGAGGTTATTGTGCTAAACTCCTCAAATTTTTTATTCTACTAAATCCACCTGAACTTTGTGGGTGTTGCACTAAACCCTTCTAAATTCTTTTTTATATCACTAGACCCCCTTGAATTTTGGTGGTTATTGCACATAACCCCATAACTTTTTATTCCACTGAATCTCATCTAAATGTTTTTATTTAATCTCCAAATTAGCACCACTAGCTCTAATGCTATTTCCTTTTTCTCCCACAAAAAGTGAAAATTCTTTTTGTGTCCAAAAAGAAATACACTTTTATTAAAATGAAGGATAATTTCTTTTAGACCGAGAGGTTATTTTAATCTTTTTATGGTCTCATATTTTTCATATGACATGTTAGAGATGATGGTTCTAATTTCAGGGAACAAATAAGAAAATTTTAGGTAAAATTTAGAGGAAAAAAAATTAGGAGAATTATGTGCAATAACGCCTAAATTCAGAGGAGTTTAGTGATCTAAAAAAGATAAAGGGGGTTTAGTGCAGCACACTGAAAGTTAAAGAGTGTTTTTTTGAAATTAACCCTTGATTTTATCTTTCCTCTCATTTTAAGTTTAACAAAAAAAAATTAATAATAATTATAGTTACTAAAATAGAGACATGGATTACCTTTAACCGATTGAATATTGTGCTGATGTAGCCTATTAGAGGGCGAGTGAGATGGAGCGGTCGCTTTGAGCGACTGCCCCTAGACTTTCTCTTTAGGATCATTTAGTCACCTAATCACTGCAAGGTCCTCATGATGATTGTTGCCAAATTTATCACTGTAATCACTGCAAGGTCCTCATGATGATTGTTGCCAAATTTATTTTCCTTAAATCTTACTTACCATGTTTCCTTGGAGATACAAGTTTCTTATTTCATTCAGTGTTAGATCAGTTACATAGAAATAAGCATGTACGTCCTATGTAGTACATATGGTGTCCTATAAGGCTATAACCTTGCCCATTGCCAAAAGAAGATCACTATGTACAACTGGTCTTACTCTTTCTTTCAAAGACGATAAGCCTTCTCTAGATTTCTAAATTTATTTTGTCCTCCTGGACACTCATAGATGATGCTGTCTTAGAAAAGTGCAGGCTGCAAAAATAACCAATTTTCGTTTGTAAGCTGATAAGTCCAAGTAACAGTTTGATTCAACAGTATTTTCTTCATTTTTCTGTATTTTTAATGTATAATAGTTATATGAATAAATAGGCTCCCACTAATAGTGTAACGCCCCGCCCCGGAATCCCGGAGTCGGTACGCTATTAGATCTGATGGACTGACCTCACAAACCACCACATGTCTTTTCAGCACGTTTTGTCCTCACTCACGCGCTCCCTGGAAAACTTCCCAGGGGGTCACCCATCCTAGAATTTCTCCAGGCCAAGCACGCTTAACTTTGGAGTTTCTAAGAGTTGGGTTTCCGAAAAGAAGATGCATCTTGGTGGTATGAGTATTCCAATCAAATCTATCAATACTAATCATATCACCCTCTCAAGGGTTAGGGTATTACAAATAGTATTCAGCATGTGGATACTATCAACAAAATCAACAATAATTAGTTTTTCAGGTCTAGGAAAGGAATTCACTGGATGTTTCTCGACAGGAGGGTTGCAAAGGTCTACTGTATATGGTGCTTCATGCTCGTGTTATCTTGGATTTGTATGAAAAATTTGAAGAGGAGATTCGATTTGAACAAGTTGAAGGAGACTTTGACTCTTTTCAAGGAAAATGGCTTCTAGAACAACTTGGAAATCACCACACGCTATTGAAGTATATAGTGGAGACTAAAATGCACAAAGATACCTTCCTATCAGAGGCTATCGTTGAAGAGGTATCCCCATATTAGCTGTTTGAACTTCTAAATTTTCAAGTATTGTTGATGGCAGTGTACTCTGTGGTGCATTTTTTAAATTTTCCATTGAAATTTAGTCATTTTGTCTCAGTTACTATGTCTACCGTCTTTTCAGTTCATGCATGGCTTGACCACTTACGTGTTATAGGTTTAACTACTGAAAATGCACTTAGCATTTATGTTGTTAACCATATTACTCATACAACTGGCCGTGTATCTTTGGCTTCTCCTCGCCGGTATAATTTAAGCTGATTTTAACTTCTAGTTTCTTACTGGACTTTATACCTATTGACGTGAGCTTTGCACCAATATAATTTTGTTAATTTATTGTCTTTTTAAATTAATCTGCTTTCTGCCCCTCACTTTTTGGGATTCCACAAATTGCCAGTTACCTATATTTCAGGTCATCTACGAAGATCTACCATCAAACTTGTGTGCTATACGCGATTTTGTTGAAAAAAGAGAAGCTTCCATGACAGATTCATTAATTATCCCAGACGAGCCAATTCCTTTCACTGATAACAATGCTCACATATCAGTTATCAGGCCAGTGGAAGAGGTTTCCAGTTCTCCGCCTTCAACTACATCAAAGCACAGACCAAAAGTTCCCGGCTTGCAAAGAGATTTTGAGGTTCTGAAAGCTGAACTCCAAGCATATATCTCAGAGTATGGTCAAGAAGGGTTTATGCCCATGAGAAAGCAACTTCGCTTGCATGGTAGAGTGGATATCGAAAAGGCAATTACTCGCATGGGTGGATTTAGAAAGGTAGCCAACTCAATGAATCTATCACTTGCTTACAAACATCGAAAGCCAAGGGGATACTGGGATAATCTTGAGAACTTGCAAGAAGAGGTAACTTGAAATACATATGGCTGCACTTCACCTCCAGTTTGTTTGTGCATCAAAGGATTACTTGCTTTACCATATGGAATACAAAGGATGTTACTTTGTTTTTTTCTTGGTTCTTTGTATATACAGAATTTGGTGGTTGCTATCCCTAAGATTGCAGATTCAATTTGTTCTTATTTCTTAATTTGCTCTTTCACCACGCAGATAAGTAGGTTCCAGAGAAGCTGGGGAATGGATCCTGCGTACATGCCCAGTAGAAAATCTTTCGAGCGTGCAGGTGAAGAGATTACCTCATTTTCCCTTTTATTTGTGATTTATTACAGAAATTTGGTATTTCTTTTGGCAAGATTAAGGAATTAACTTGCTCTAGATTTGTGGAGATTTTTTACATTTCTCTTCACCTTATACTCTATTGATTAAATTTGACTGTGAACGCCGCTTAAGCTGTTAGATATTGTCTCTAATTTCGAAGGAACACTTCTGGGAGTTAAATGAACTTTAAATATAGGTTGGAAACCAAATCAACCTAAAAACTTAAGTTGTTAGGCATTGTCCCTCCATCCTTTTAATTTATAGTCCTTTTTTTTTAATATAATCTTTCCAGCGTGGAATATACTCACACATGAAATGCCAACGCTCTCTTTTATAAAAGATGCTACTATGCTCACACATTATTAAATGCTTCCTGAAAAGAGGACAGATTCTCTGCTATTGCCATATTGTAATATGCAGTGGTATCTCGATATCAACAATTTTATTATCAGCGTTTAATTTGACACATATCTAATATCTGTTCCTTGTTTTGTATGGTTGTTCGATAGGGAGGTATGATATTGCCAGAGCACTAGAAAAATGGGGTGGTCTACAAGAAGTTTCTCGTCTTCTGTCCCTAGAGCTAAGACATCCCAGAAGAAAGTCTGCCCCAGAGAGAGAGAAACAACGCGATGTGCAGGTTTCTGATGAGCATAATTCTCAGGAAAAGATGTCGAATAAGCCTTATGTTTCTCAGGATACACAGAAATGGCTCATGAAACTGAAGGATTTGGATATTAATTGGGTTGAATAGGTTTATGAGTGTGTTTATTATCAGTATCTCCTTCTTGTATATAATCCATAGCCCTATTTAACGGCGAGTTATCTGGTCTGAAGGAGGTTTTCAAGGGAACTCTTGAGCGTTGACTCATGTTATGTTTTGACGAGTAACAGGCTGATGTTACCTGCTAAGAATTCTATATTTCTGATTTTTTAAATTACAGGAGGAGTTTACAATTTTCATTTCAGACTTCATTATCCTTTTGATTAGCTCAAGAGTTTTTTCTGCTGATTGATGCTAACAACTTCGAGCTTTTCTCGCGTTGAGAAGATCATATACGGATTTGGATCTAGTCTTGAGACCATTTTCTTAAAATTTAGATATTTAATAGCCTTTTATATTTTTGCCTCTAAGTAGCTCTCTTTTTTGTTTCTCTTACGCATGTGTGTCAAGTTTCGGCTAGAAATTTAAATTGGCTAGAAAGTTTAGTTCATCCATTAAAAGATTTATGATTTGAATTGTACATTTCTTATAAAAGTATAGTGATTTTAGAAAAAATGTCAACTCTTGAACTTATATATCCTGTATATTTCTCTCGTATGCATTTCGCGAGAATTAGGTGTAGGAGTAACCAGTAACTCGACTTTAATAACTACTTTTTCCAAAGGAGTAATTGCACTTAAACCAGCCTATAGTTTCACTTATATTGCACTTATGTACCCTCACTTGTTTTTGGTACCCTCACTTGTTTTTGGTAGCACTTATACGCCTTAAAATTTTAAAAAGTCACACTTATTTACCCTTGTTTTGGTAGCATTTATACACACTAAAGTTTAAAACATGTACTTAAATATCCTAAAGTTTTTAAATTTGCACTTAAGTACCCTCATTTATACAAACTTGAAGGTATTTAAGCGTAAGTTTTAAAAACTTAAAACATAGTTAAATGCATCTTTTAAAAACTTTAGGGTATTTAAGTGTAAAGTTTAAAAATTATAGGATATGTAAGTTATGCTTAAAAGAGGTGAAGATATATAAATGAAGGTTTTAAAATTTTTAGGGTATATAAGCGTGGGCAGATTTATATTGTGCTATACCCCAAGCATTTGAGAATTTTTACTTACGCCCCTTCTAAAATTGTAATCCGTTCCCTACTAAATTTAGGAAATTCGCACCCTAGCCCACTAAAGAATTGACCATTTGCATTTAATCCATGTGAACTTAATAGCATGTTTAAATTTCAGGTTAAACGGGCCAACATTAGACACCAAAACCCCAAACAATACTGAAAATGCAAAAACCTATTGCTCGAAATTCTCTATTCTATCTACGGATCTAATTTTTGTGATACCAAACCCAAAAGAGACAAACGCTAACTTCCATTCTACATTTCTATTGAGTAGTGTAGTTTTATAATATTATTATATATCGATTTTTAAGTAAATAGTCAGTTGTGGTCCACCCCCAAGTAAATTTTTCTGGATCTACCACTCTATGTAAGTGATGTCAAAAATAAATAAGGGTATATAAGTGCAAACAGGAGAAACTATAGGGTATTCAATTGCAATTAGGCCTCTCCCGATATAACCGTACGGGCTAGCGGCGTGTTGACCATCCGATGGACTGGCCACGCCCTTTTTTCCTCGGCCAAAAGCGCGGGATAATTACCTCCAAACGGCGTCCACTGTTCCTTTGGAACCGTTTAAGAAACAAATGATACGCCTACGTGGCATCAAGACCCTAATCCTGTAAGAATTTCACGCTAACAAAACATTCTTGCCTCAGTCACCCCTAACCTGAAAGAAGCTCCCATTTAGGGTTTTGCATCGTAGAAAACCCCGAAACCCTAGAAAAAATTCACCCATTCTCGAATCTAGGGTTTCCAGAATCTCTCACTTTAGCCATGGAGATTCCCCAGGAGGTCGTGATATCGGACGTTGGGAAGAGACTCGCCCAACCTCGCCTAAACAAGGACACTTTAGTCAAATTACTCAGGGTGCGCATCGATTCCCAAAACCCTAATGTTCGTTGTGCTCTTACTTCCATTTTCTTGAAATGAGGGTTGTAATGAACACAATGTGGATAAATTCGTTTAGTGAGCGTTTTGTGCTTCTGTGTCATTACTGTTTTCATACTTAGTCAGGGTTACATGTAGATTTCTGGGCTTCGTACGATTCATTGAGGTTGGAGAATTTCGAGGTTATGGGTTTGAATTTGTCAAGTTGATTGGATGATTTAGCTCGCAATTATTACGGGAGTAGTGTTTTATCACCAAATCTTAGTCTAGAGCATTTGTTGATGCATTCAAGTGTTTTTTGTTCAGAGATTGTGTGATTTATTCCTTCCGATTTACAGGCTGTCATATTTTAAGTCTTAAATCATGGGAGTGAAAAGATATTTCTCTTTTCTTCTATTTTCACCATGTTTTTAGTTTAACTAGACAGTTATCTTGCACATTTAATTTAATAGTTTCATAGATAATGTTGCTTTAACATTAATACTTTATTTTAGATATATCATCTGGACCATCCATTTGTTCTTGTAAACTTGCGATCGGTTTGAAATAACCATGACATGCCTTGGGAATAGAATCATGCGCATCACACAACTTTTAGTCTTGTTTGCATTGTACTTTATAAATCACTTCCATACTGACATTTTTTTGTTTGGTTAGAAAATGACTCATAATTATGTTTGAATAGCTAGAAACCTGTTAGTTGACAATTTGTTGAGTATCGGTGTAGGTTATTTCTATGTTATTTCATATAAAGTAAGCATTTTGGTGTTATCTGATGTACTTGTTTCCGATTTTGGCTTTCTGAGTCTTTAATTTTTGAAGTAACTTTAGGATTAATTTTTGGCTAACATATTCCTCTTCTTGCTGCCAACAGCAAGCAGAAACTGCTTTATCCGAGTTGGGCCAGTCCTCATCACTAGAAGACGTGATTAAGCCGTTAATGCATTCTCTAGTTAAAAATAACTTGCTCCAGTATAAAGATAAAGATGTTAGATTACTGGTTGCTGTATGTTGCACTGAAGCTCTCCGTGTCTTGGCACCTGAGCCAGGTTTTAGTGATGAACTATTTAAGGTAATGTCCACTCCAATTACCTGCTGTCATCAACTATTTTCCCCCCTTTCTTATACATATCTACATGCATATGAAATTGTTTTAATATTGAATATTCCTTGATTATGGTCCGTAATGTTTGTCACAATTTTACTTAGAAAGAAAGGGAAATAACAGAAATAAAAAGAGAGAGAAGAAAGTCACTCTGTTTCTTAACATTCTATTGCAATTCTTAACTCAAGAATTGCATAGCATCTATTTTATTGACATGCTATCCTTTCGTATTTCTATCTTAAATAACTCTTAAAATAACTGCAGATTAAGTATTTTTGCTGGCGATATCATTCATATATAAAAATATCTTTCTCTAACATGATCTCTTCATGCATTAACTTGCAGGATCTTTTTAGACTTATTATCAGTGTATTTGAGGATCTGGCTGATATCAGCAGCCCATTTTTCACAAGGAGGTCAAAAATATTGGAGACTGTTGCTGCCCTCAGATGTGGCACTATAATGTTGTACATTGGTTCTGAGGATTTAGTTCTGAAAATGTTCGAAGTCTTCTTCAATGTTGTGAAGTAAGGGCACATTTCATCAATTTGGCCATCTATTTCCATTGAATCTCCAACTCCTTATTTTAGCTTTTGATTTTAAATGCCGTTTTGGAATTTATTTCTTTAATGGTTGCTACTTGTTTATTCACTTATTAAATAAGTGTCATTTTCATGATGTTTGGAGTTTAGATGCTATTAATTCTTACTGGCATATCAGATAGTTTAGTTTAGTATAATTACTATACATGCACATGTTTGATGAACTAGCGAACATTCTGTTCTTCTTTCTTTCTTTCTTTCTTTCTTTTGTTTTTGTTTTTGAAAACAGCCTCATGTAATTTCTTATTGGATTGCACTGACATATAGGATGAAATTGGAAATTTGATATATATGCCTGCGTTCAATATTTGGCATCTCTATTATTTACTGGGAAACATGTAGTTTGCTTTTACTCCAACACATTTCCTTCTAACAGTGACAATCTCTGATTTTCAGGCATAGTCATCAGCAAAGTTTGTTTCAGTCTATACTGTCCATTATGACACTTATTCTTGAGGATAAAGATCTTGAGGCTAAAGTTTCTTGTCGGCTTTTAAATGTTATCCTTCAGAACCTTTTAAAGGATGAAAAGGTAGGTATCAAGGAATACAATTGACCGTGTACAACATTTTTTGTCATTTGCTACCTTTTAAAAGGATGAAAAGGTAGGTATCAAGGAATACAATTGACCATGTACAACATTTTTTGACATTTGCATTTAACCTTTTTTCTTTTAACTAGTTGGATTGATGCGGCATGAAATTCAGTATCTGGAAATGGCTTAGATGTCAATAATTTGCTTTACAAACCATGGGCCTGAAATATTAGGCCTCACCCTCTCAACTATAATATTCTTTCACTATATCATTCTTTCAGAACCACAATGACTTCTTTTAATATGTAAGGAGTTAGACTTTCTCTGATTTCCAAATTCTGTATTTGATGAAATCTTCCATTTCATTTCCTTTTTCTGTGTAATTAGGAAAACTATTGCTTCCATTATAATTAGTGTGCATACCATTTTGTTAATCTAAACTTGTTTGATGATCAGCATTCTTGATTAGGCAATTCACAATCCTACAAAAACTAAAAAAAATTCATAATTCAATATATTTCTTCTAATACAGTTGTCCTTAATGTCATAAATTATGCCATGCTTTAAACTGTTTCCGAATTTGATACGTCCCCTCAACTGAATTGGCTAACATTAAGACGGTATTTGGGATGTTAACAAACAGGTAGATATGGAAAAGATAGCTTAAAAGCTAGTTTGACCAAAAATTCCCCGTTCCCCACCCACCACATACACAAAGCACCATCTGAGGCTGTAAGTGGGCCAATTGTTAACAGTTTATTGAAAATCCTGTGTGTGTGTGTGGGGTGGGGGTGGGTGGGGGGTGGGGTACTAAGTTATTCTCGTTGGTATGCCATGTAGAGTGATATCTTTGGAAATTTACAAAAGTACTTAATTTAGCTGGGGCATCTCAATTTGTGTTTCAAAATTAGATTAAGCACCAGTACTTGTAAGATATAAATTGTAGTTCTGCAATATTCTATGTTGGCTTAAATAACTTCTCATAACACTTGTAAAGCAGTCCACTTGTCATGACTTAGACCTCACTGGAACAAAATAAATAGGTCAACTAGATTAACTACTGCGACCTTTTCAAAAGGGAACATTGCGCTCTTCATATTTTGTGCTGAGGTCTACTTGAGGAATTACTTATATTGGTTGCATATTTGCAGGGAGCTTCCTTTCGTCTTGCTGTTTCTGTCATTCAAAACTCTGTTGGAAGGTTGGAGCAAACAATTTGTGAATTTTTAACGTCATGTATATTGGATAAGGGTGCTTCTGGAAATGTACTGAAGAAATCTTACCACATGATAACTTTGAAAATCTTTCAATGTGCTCCCCAGATTCTTAAGGCCGTCATTCCAAACTTGACTCAAGAATTGCTAGTATGTTACTCACTTCTTAACTGTTGAACTTGAAACATCTTGTTTACTAACTAAACTCCTTTGGGGATCCTCTCTCATCTTTTGTTCCTGTATACTTCTTGCTTCGGTTTCTGATACAAGGTGCATTATTAACAGAGTGATCATGTGGATATCCGCTTAGAGGCAGTTCATCTTGTAGGAAAGCTTTTTGCCCTATCTAAGCTCAGTGTTGGTCAGGAATATCGGATAGTCTTTGTGGAATTTTTGAATAGATTCTCAGACAAATCCCCTGAAATTAGACTAGCCGCGATAGAATGTGCCAAAGCCTGCTATATGGCGAATTCCTCTGCGAATGAAATACGTGATATTCTTAGTGAGATCCAATGCCTTACTGTTAATTTTATATCCTTGAACGATAGGATACACTGCTCTGACATCTGTTTCAAAACTGGTGACAGCTGCTCTTGGAGGGAGGCTACTGGATTTTGATGATAAAGTGAGGATGCATGCTGTACTAGCAGTCTGTGATCTGGCAAAATCTAACCTGTCATGTTTTCCATCTGAACTAGTACTTCAATCTATTGAACGGCTTCGTGACAAGAAGGTATTTGTCAAGAATGACTGGCTTTTGTGATACTTAGGATTATTTCTTTTCGATAACATTGGAGCTTGGAATGGTATACAGCTAGCTCTCTCTAGTAAACTTATCTATTATGGAGGTTTATTTCCCAAGCGTACTTGCCTAATCTGTATTATTTGTAAGGCAGGTTTTTCTACTTGCTGGATTAATCTTTGTGATTAGCGGCAAGAACTTTATCACCATAGTTTTTAAGCAAGGAATTTGAAATAACATTGTAAAAAATAGATGTTGGGTTGCCTGATTGCTGTAAGAATTTGGTTAAGATTACTATGGATTGATCTTGGCTTAGTTTTGCGGTCCATATGCTAATTTTAGAGACTAGGATAGTGTGATGAGGATGGTAACTCTGTCCTATTTTATCTCTTTTAATTTTCACCTCCTGAGATGCGTGTTTCCTTGCAGGTTTCTGTCAGAAAGTGTACCTTGCAAAAGTTGCTGGAGCTTTATCGAGTTTATTGTGACCAGTATTCTAAGGGATTCCTCTTAATTAGTGATCACTATGAACAAATTCCCTGTAGGATTTTAATTCTCTGCTTTGACAAAGATTGCAAGGAGTTTAGGTCTGTTATCCTCTTTGATTACATGATATGATGTAGACACATAGTTCAAGGTGTGATTGAAATTTTACAGGCCCCATAATATGGAGGTTGTGCTTGCTGAGCATCTCTTCCCAGCTTCACTTTCTGTGAGGGAAAGGGCTATACATTGGGTTGCTTCCTTCTCTTTTTTCACGCATACCCATATTTGGGCTTTAAACTCCATACTATCTCAAAAGCACAGGTATGCTGTCTTTTTCCCCCTTAAAATACTTTTATAACTTTTTTTTTGTTCGGTTACGTCTGACCAAAAAAGCTCATTATTTCAGGTTGCAGAAAGAAATGCAGGTGTATCTGGATCTTAAAGAAAAAGAAAAGGTAACTGAAAAATCTTAGTAAATACTTCGTCCAGATATTGTTCCTTCCTTTTCTTTTGGCTCGTGACTAAAAATAAAGCATCTAGGACAAGTGCTGGTGGTTCTCGTGCAACTAAAGGGAAATTGACACTGACAAAAAAGAAGATATATATATACATACATATATATATATATATATATATATATATATACATACGATACACACACACACACACACACACACACACACAACAATATCATATATTTATATATATATATATATATAAGTAGAGAGAGAGAGAGAGAGACGAGAGAGAGTGAGAGATGAGAGAGGGACGGGCATTGGGGGGAGGGAGGGGGAAATTCGGTATGCTTTGTACCAACACGTAAATTTGGTGCTTGGTAGTGAAGTGACAACTTCTCATCTAATTATTTAATGAGTGATTAATTAAGTGAGAACCATTTTTAGATAGACACCTTTAAATGAGTGGATGAGAAGCCTCCACGTAACTACCAAACATCAATTTTGTACGTGGTATCAAGCATACACATCATTAGATGCATACATACATACATACTATATATGTGTACATACATATATATGTATACATACATATATATATGTACACACACATATAGAATGATGGTTGTTGGTTGTGAGGTGACAACTCATTTTGCTAAAGGCTAAAATACCAAATTAGCTTAAAAAGTGACATCCATTTTCTAGTAAGGTATAATAACTAACTCTAGCGATAGCATGACCTAAAAGTTAACACACTTAACAGTAGGCCTACTCCGGTTGCCGGAGTTTTGATTTGAGAGGGAAAATTAAGAGTTTTTACATATATACCCCTCAAATCTCCCACTTACGGATTTTCCCTCCAAATTCAAATATTTGTGCAAAAAAACTTCTCTCTTCTCTCTCTCTCTCCATCTTCTTTGTCCTCCTCTCCCCCTCTCCCACTCCTTCCCTTTCTTCGTTCCCAAGCTTCCCATCCCCGCCACCTTCTCTTCCTCCTCTAACCTTACCCCTATTCTCAACCTCTCTCATCTCACTACTCCCATTCCCTCCTCTCTCTCCTCTCCCCTCAACATTTACCAAAAGTGGAGGGAGTGAAGGAATGGGGAGGAGAGAAGGGGAGGAGGGAAGTGAGGAGATTGAGGAAAAGGAGAGTTTGAGAAGATGACTGATGCAAGTAAGGAGAGAGATGGTCTTTTTCTAAATATTTAAATTTAAAGGGCAACTCTGTAAGTGTGGGAGATTTGAGAGGCATATATGCAAAAACCCTTAGTTTCCCGCTCAAATTAAAACTCTAGCTACCGGAGAAGGCCTTATTGGTGAAATGTGTCAACTTTTAGGTCTTCTTGTCGTCTGTGTCAGTTTTTATGCCTCATTGGCAAATGAGTGTCATTTTATAAGCTAATCTAGTATTTTAGCCTTTTGCTAAATGAGCTACTAAGAGTCAAAGGTGGTGAGGCCCATCCATGTGATGTGACTTGGAAGTGAGGCCTCCACGCATGACTCCTCTTGTAGCTCATTTTAGCAAAACGAGCCACCACATCATATTCATTTTTTCACTATAATATATATATATATATATACTATCATATATATATATATATATATATGTATATATACACACACATATACATATATGGCGTATTTGTTCCTAGGGTATAACTTTTGCTTATACTCGTAAAAATTGTATTATGCAATCAATTTGCTTGATCAACTCTGTTAGTTTTAATCTATATATTTTGGATGATATTATAAATAAAAGATTAGGTACACTGGATTATAGTTACGTATATATCAAGTGATTGTAAAATTAACGGTTTTACAACAATACATCTAAAGAGACATTAAAAATATGCTTTAGTTTAGAAGCATCGAAACATCACAGTTTTTGGTTTATGGATGCTTTAAGATAATTATATAATGATGTACAGAATGGATCATCCATTGGAATGTTCTAAACCATACATCAAGAGGTCTCATTTGTTGCATTGTTAGAAAACCGTTAATTGTTTTGACCACATGATGCGTGTGTAGTATATGATCAACATACATAATTTTTTTATGGAGCTTTTAAGGCATGTAGATCAAGATGAATGGAGTTGATTGTTGAATTTTGGTGCACAATACGCATTTGTACAAGTGGGTATAACTAAACTAGTTATGCCTTAGGAACAAATTTAGTATGAAGTAGCGTGGAGTGATCTTTCTGCAACTTGAGTATTGACATCCATATGATGACGGACAAGTGCTGTCTATAAAGTTTTGGACACTTCACTGCAAACACGTCACCAAGTTTTGTCCTTCAATAAACTTAGCTAATGTGCAATGTCGTAACAAAGAAGTAATATCAGACAACTTTCTTCTTGAGTTATTTATTTATTTATTCTTGTAACTTTCGGATTTTTATTACTTGTTTTCCAGGAGAATGTTTCTGAAGAAGTTCACAATAGAATTCTAGCATCCTTTGTGAAGATGTCAACTGCCTTTCCTGACTCATCCAAAGCTGCAGAGTGTTTTAATAAACTGCACCTAATGAAGGATAAAAATATTTTTAAGGCATTGCTGGAATTGATTGATGTGCACACACCTATGCTAACTGCCTGTGCCACTCAAGTAAGTTTACAATTGCTTCCAAAGTCTGTTAAATTTCTAAATGATCTTCTGTGATCTGATTTATTTGTCCAATCCTCATGACTTTAACCTCATTTTGTGTGAAAGTAACAGCCAATGTTTAGCTTTTGAGCCCTTCTTTTTTTAAAAATTTATTTATAGCTTTTCATTAAGAAAAACTTATGGCGATCGCCAATTTGTAAGTTTGTTGCTTAATTGAGTCCAACTCTAGGATTGATTTGAGGGCAACAGAGGTCATGATCGTATTTGTATATAACCATTCTGATTTCTGAGGACACTGAAAAGTAGGGCTTTTAGGATCATAGCAGCTAGGATTATAACAAATTAAGAAAACTGCAAGGGCTACACATAGTTATTGTTTTGTTCAACAATTTGAAGTTGTTCCAAACATTGACTTGAATATGCTGCGTGTGCTTTTGCTTTTAAAGAGATGGAAAAGTTGTAATTTTGGGTATATATTGCTGTCAACGTATGCTCTGCAAGGTGGTCTAGAATTATTAAATTAAAATCCTAGCAAAATGTAGATCAGTCTACTTATAGGAATTTTTTTAGAGCGGTCAAAAAAATTATAGAAATGGATTAGGTGATGGAGCACCACAAACTGACACCTCAACAGCTTGTGTAGTTCTAATTTGTTTTTTTATTTAAAATAAATGATCAGATAATATTAAACATAATCATATTAAAAGTTGTTGGGTTCAATTTTTGTTTGAATTTCTGCAATTCGGTTTAAGGGAAGAGAGTATGGCCAGAAGATTAAAGTCATGGTTTTTTTCCTTGGAGATTGTAGCTTAATAGCAAGGACACTAGTTCACATATACTTTAGCAATGGGAGTAACAATACTATTAATAAAGTCACTATGAGGAGGGACAGCCCAAAGATGTACTAGATAATGCTAAATACCTGTTCTAGAAAGGCTCTGCTGATATTTCAATGATACATACACCATTATGATATGGTTGTGCTAATTTCTATTGAAATATAGCTTCTCCTTGGTCAGACACTAACAAGTTATTTGACTAATAGAAACTAGGAATATTTATAACTAGTTTAGTTTCTATTGTTCTTATGAGAGTGTTAAGAGTTAAGACTACAAAATTATAAACCTTAATGTCACCAAAACTTTGTAATTTTGTATAGTTGATAGGATCTTTTTTAACATGGTGTCTGAGCAACCCAGGCTCAAATCCCATTGACCACATATTTTAGGTGGATTTAAGAAAAATAGATACTGGTGCATAAAATGCAGCTTTGATGTTAAGATTATAAAGTTATAACCCTCTCCCTCACCAAAACTTCGAAGTTTTAATGTAGTGGAAGGTCCACTTTCCGCAATGGTATCTCTTTTTCTAAAGCTGCTTTAAATGAGTGGCCTGTAGGATTTGAGCATAGGTTGATCTAATACCATGTTAAAATATCCATCAAACACACCAAAACTCTGAAGTTGCGGTGAGGTAGACGGTTTATAATTTGAGACTGATAAAAAGCAAAAAAAAAAGTACTTGGAACTGATACTAGAGCAACAGTAAGTGAAAGGTAATTGCCTGTAAAAGACTGATACTAGGAGAATTTTAAGAATCACTTCCTTGTTTCATGAACATAAACAACAAGTGATGATGTAGCCTGGCCTGGCAACCGGTTTTCTAGGTCCTGAGGAAAGTCCTTTGTTCATAATTTACCCTGCCATAACAAGAACGTATGCATATGTAACAACTAACACGTATATAGTATTAAGCTGGAGCGATTGTCAATCTATGTGCTTGGCATGTGTTCTTACTTCATAAAGTTGTCAAAATTCTATAAATGAGCTTAGTGCTTGTTATTCATAGTTACGGATTCAAGTTTTTCCAATACCCTTATGATTTTAGCCTGATGTTTGTACTGAAACTTTTTTTTTATTTTTCTTTCACTATGAATGTCTGCTTTTTAATTATTTATGTATTTTCTGTCAAATTTTCAGGATTCTTTTCTGAAGAGGATAGGAAAAGATCATCAATGTTATGACTTTTTCAAAATACTCGCCACAAAATGTTCTTACTCAATCTTCAACAGGGAACTTGTTCACCATATACTGGAAAATTGCCTATCCAGGGAAGATGGCGATAAATATGCGGAGGCTTCTGCGGATCTTCTCCTTGTGAGTACTTGCCTTCTTCTGTTGATTGTCACGGAAATATCTGATTGTGCTATAAATATTTTCTTTCTATTGCCATCCTCATTACCGCCAGCACTATCTTCAACTTGTCCTGTCAGATAAGGTTGATGATAAAGAGACAGCCCCCACTAATTTACTTTCTATCATCAACCCAGAATTAAAGACTATTATTTGCCAGGTTCTATGAATTCTATAAGTGTGTTTGGCGAATACCCTATATACCTGGGCCAAGACTAGCTCTGGCCCTGTGCTAAACAAAACTAGTTTTGTTTTGGACCAAGGGGGAGGGGGTCCAAAACAAATCCAGTTTAAAGGCCACAATTTGCCTTAGAAAAACTGGGCCAGATTTGGCCCAGTTTTATCCAAACAGAATATTGTCCAAAATGAAGCCGGGTTCTCATTTTGAGAAGTTGCCAAACACTATTAGGCCCATAGACTGCTGAAAATCCCACCTTTTTGGCTATGCATTGAACTTTCTGTTTTGAAACTGAGAAAGGACACATAAAATACTTCAATAACAAAGAATCGAGGTGATGACAGAAAGAAAAGATTTAGTTTGGAGAATTTCATTTCTTGGGAGATTATTTGACTTTTTTTCCCAACTTACAAGAGGTTATCAATATATAGCCTAAGATGCTGGGCTTCAGCTCAGACTGCCTTTTCGAACTTGGATATTAGAGGTGAAAATTGTTTTGTCAAACAGAGAGACATTTGGTTTTCTCAGGAGTTTGGTTCTTTTGGGTCTTGAAATTGAAAGAATTTCAAAATTGTTGGCAGTTTTAGTTTTGATTTTTTCAAACTGACCTGTCCGAATAACTGAACCATAAACTTGTTACTTTTACCTGGTTTTACGTGGGAAGAGAAGAACGGATAAATGTGCCACAGAAAGAGCTTTTGTCCTTTTATAAGTCTCCACTACATCTTAAATGTGGCTTTGAAGTCGTTTATATAAAATGTCTTGTTATTTTATATTTTTCCTTTTTACTGGAAAGTGGAATCTCCCCTATGCTGATTTCTCTCATGTTAAAACTTTTTGGTGTAGACTATTGTGGACATGTTTCCTTCCTTGCTTAGGGGATCCGAAAAATATTTATTGAAATTGCTACTGGAGGAGTCTGTCTTACCAATTGAGAAACTTCTTCAAATTCTAGCCAGAGCAGGTCATTATGTTTCTATTGAGCTCAGGTAAATAATGAGCGTTGGGGTTTGTCTACAAATAATTATGAAATTGTACGTTGCAATGATTCTTTTACTTTTGCACATACACCTTCTATATTAAAATTAATTTTGGTTTGGACTCGAATATTAGGCAGTAGGCCATCGGCACCATCATTACCATCCAAGCCATTTCCTATGAAAATGGGGTTGGTTATGGACCACATTCTGTTGTTGAGGAAGCCTAGACATGACTTTTACTAATTTTTACGATTCACTGTTAACATGTACTACATGAGCCAATTATAAATCCCTGACAGGTGCGTGTAGGAGGAAGGAGGTCACTGTTATAAAACCAGAAGCTTGAAAAGTGTATTTGGCTGCTGATATAACAAATCATTATGATCATAACATTTAAGTACATAAAACCTAGGTGCAACACTTCTAGTTCAACTCCCACTAGATTTTCAATTGTGGTAAATGTTTCAAGATCCTGTAGAGAAGACCACTGATTCTTGAGGTATCACGTAAGAAAAAGGAGCATAAGAACATTACACTTTCATGATATTACACCTTTTGACATGTGAAGCAAAATTTAGACTAAGGAGCTACTTGAGAATTACATTATAAACAAATTTGTCAGTTGAAAACGCAATATGTTTCTTCATATCCATGCAATTCTGAGAGTGTTGTCTCCTTTTTTTTAAATGTCCCCATGTGTCCACAATAATGTTCTTTCCTGCCTTTGTATGGATACAATTTTCAAGTTGACCTCTCAAGTCTATTTGGGAAAGGAAATGAAAGTACGAAACAGACATGCCATCATAGCAAGTTAGGGAAATTGGCTACTGACTTTGTTGGATACACAAATTACAAGTAAATATTAATTATAGGTAATTAAAAAAACAAAAACAAAAACAGCAAAAGGTGTGTCTAATAACTGTATGTCATGAACTTTTTGATGGTCAGTGTAAAAAGGTAGAGATTGAAAAAGTTTTAAAAGTATAGTTTATGTTTAACCACATCTGAAATCTGGTAAGTAAAAGGGGAACTCAAACTAGTCCTTAACACAAGCAGGAGGTTCTCTGACATGCTCAAATGCTAGTTGTTTCTTTTGCTGGTCAGAAATGTAGGGCCTTTTTCTTGTTTGTTTTCATTATGATTTCAATGTGTGGGTGTATGTTTTGTTTAACATTTTTAAGACTGCAATCTTGGAATATTGAATGTCAGACAAAGAGACTTCCTTTTCCTTCTCATCGACTTGCTTAACCTTTATATTACTTATTTATTTGTCTGACAAACAATTATTATTTTTATATTTTGTAGTGATATTTATCCATTGTTGGAGGAAAATTGCCTGGAAGGAACACGTGCTCAATCAAAATATGCTATTTCTGCACTTGCCTCGCTACTTGATGATTTTGCTGATCATACCTTTTTGAATTTATGTAAGGTACAATCGTAAGGACATGCTTAAATTTGCTTCAGTTTTGAGAAAACCCTCTTGTTGGATATATCCATGCTTTTCATATATGCTTCGTTACCCTTGTAGCTCTTTGTAGTTCACTTACACAAGTTTGCTGAAAGCATGATGCAAAACTGAAAATGAAACAGAATTGTTCTTTTTGTCTCAGTTCTTGACCATGCAAAATATTTCCTATGAAACTAAACCATAACTTAAGTAGAATTTACATCGCAAGTTTCCTACCAGAATGTGATTTTTTTTTTCTTTTGGATGCTCAAATCTGGTAGAAATAAAAAATTGACCTACTATTGTGCTGGAAGTTATTGCATACCAACTCAACCAACCAGAGCTTGCTACATGGCCTTCGAATCTGTAAGCATTAATTTGTGCAAGAGCGTGGAAACTAGAAAGTCTCCGTTATTATAAGTTCTGAGTCGCTAGTTCCTCAATGGTTCTTAACAACCACATGGGCCTCTTGATGGTGATGGGCCTCATATTCTTGAGTTCCTTCTATTCATGTCTAAAACATAATTACTATCATAATCACTTAGTTTGCCATTGGGTCCTGGCTTGCTAGGTTTGAGATCACCCTTCAGCATGTTTCAGTGGTAATAATCCGGCTTGGTTTGAAGTCGTAATTACACAATTTACCCCAGCTGAAACTTTATCAGTTGGACAATCAGCCACGATCCATAGTCCAGAGAGAGCCTGAATAAGGCAGATAACTTATTCATAAGGATGTATCTGTCTAACTAGTAATTACAATTCAATTTGGATTCATTATTTCTGGGTTTATTTTTGCATTATTAACTAGTAAATCCCAGAATACTAAGTGCTGATCTTGCATTATGACCTGGTAAATCCCACACTTTAAGCGATATCATGAATTAATTATCAACCTGAAGCTAATGTAGTCGATACAATTATCAAGAAAACCAATTACTTGGGAAATACCACTGAGACAATCGCCTCTGGAAACAAAATGCATTGACTGTATTAAATTGCTTGCAGTATATTTATGAGATACTAGGTGTTGAGTAACTGCTAGGTTTAAATCAGGTTTTCCTGGAAGGAAACATAAATGAGTAATTGGGTCTAGTGCGACAAAAAAATAAGTGGGTTGAATTTGTCAAAAACGACCATATGTTTAGGTGGTGTAATTATGCTGTTAAAGATATGAGCTAGATGAGTTTAGGTGGCGTAAATGGATACACATGTTTCTGATCTGGATGTATTTATTAGTTAACTTTATGTTCTGTTAAGTGTTTGAGTTGAGATTTCCAACCCTTCCGCCTATTTATTTTCGTGCACTTTGTTACCTACCATATATTTTTGAACTGCCTTGTTACTCTCACTAGTAGGCTGCCATGGAAAGTTAGATACTGTAGTTAACCAGCTCATAGGCTTTTTTCTAGTTTCTCAAATGTGGGCATATCATCTTGTCTTTCTTCTTATAAACCATGATCCTATAAATGGCCTAAATTGTAAGAGCTTGCAAGAATTTCACAGTAGATCCCTTAATAAAAGACAATTGATGGTTATTCCATGAAGTGTTTATCGACAAGACTACAATAATAATATTGTTGATTGGTTCATCACTTCATTGTTGAAAAACCCGTTATGCAACTAACTCGTTATATTGTGTTATGTATCCTAACAACCCTTAAATGTTACGTAACTTTATGAAATAACTCAGACACACCCAGACAGATCATAACTCTATGTTATTACAATAAAATGTGTTGTTACAATATAGCCTATTTGTAGGTTGTCTAAAAATCACTGCAGATAGCTTATCCTCATCAAACACCGATGATGGAAGTTATAATTTAACGGCTTCCAGAAGGCTACAATTTAAAAAATTTCACGTAGATCGATGAATGTTACAATCCGATGACCTTCACAACAACTGATGAAAGTTCTATTCAACAGCCTTCACAATCAATATCGGGAGTAATAATCTGACAACTCTCATATTTTTAAGGAGCCAAGACGAAGGTTACAATGTGATGATCTTTGCAATGCTCTAGCAAAAGAGACTACAAATTGACAGTCTCTTCAAATCAAAACACAGATATCTCTCATAAACTTTGTGTTTTGAGCCAACTGGAAATGCCCAACTCTGCGTTTCAGGTCTAAAACGCAGAGTTCGGGCTCAGAGCGCTATTTTCGGTATTTGACTCGTTCAAGCTCGAGCTGAACGGTTCCAGAAACCGTTTCCCCCCCATGATTGGAGGGATTTCCGCCCCACTTAGGAGTAGATTAAGGGGGCAGTTACACCCCTTAACCCTCCTATAAATATGGGTAAACTCAACTGAGTTCGGGTCTTTCTTTTGGGATCGCTGGCTTTTTGGTAGATCAGATCTTGGCAATCATCTTTTGGATTTGGAGATCATCTTTCGGATCTGACTTTTGGGAGATCGACTCGGCTTCTTCATATCTTCTTGGAGCTTTGGAGATCAATAACTTGAATAAACTCTTGAATCATCTTGGAAGACTTTTATTGAAGCCTTTGAGATTACTCGGCTTAGTTTGTGAACTCTTTCTAAGAGTTCTTCTCAACTCGATCGGAGTTCAAAACTTGCTTTGTAAGTTCTTCTAAACTCACTCAGAGTTCCCTAACTCGTTAAGAGTTTCAAACTTACTCTGTAAGTTCTTCTGAACTCGTTCAGAGTTCTAAAACTTGCTTTGCAAGTTCTCCACAGCGTTAAATCGTGAGGAGAAGATATCATTCCAGTGAAGCAAAATGTCAGATCGTCAACGAAAAGCAAGCTCGACGCGAGCATTCGATGGAGGCATTCCATCGCCATCGTGAAGAACCCAGTTTTTAAACAAAAGGGAGGATCTCCGTTGATCTTTTTCTCTTTTATAATCAGGAAATGTAAATTGTAATCGAGATTGAGAGAGTTGTAAATATTCTTTTTCTAAGCAGTTAGAAAGAATAAATCAAATTCAATTCTTTTATTTTCTTTTTACAAATTTTCCCAACAAACGCTATTATTTCAATATAACATGCGTTATTTCAGTATAACTTACTTTAGTTCAATATAAGTTCCAAAAATTTAAGAGTGTATCCTTTCTTAAAGCTTGAATTAGTTAAGTAATTACTTTTGAATTGTTCGTTAAACCTTCATGTCTTGTTTTGGTGACATCACTATGTGATTGTGAAATTATGAACATGATTAATAAAATGAATGTAATTATGAGCGAGTTAGAAATTTATCATTATGTATTTGAGTATTTGATTGTGGTACTTCCTAGTAAACCTATATAGCTTTTATTAAATTAAAGAATTTTTATAAATATTTTTGTATTATGATATATTTTCCCTAATTCTTAAAATTACTATCAAAAAATCATTTATACTTTTTAAAATTAAACAATAAGAAAATAGTTTGTTCCTAATTGTGATATTATGTTTGAAAATTTCGACGATTCTAATTATTAAAGTCGTTATGAATAGTTTGTGTAAAATATGTAAATATTTAATAAACAAAATAACATACATTGTGTGTTATGTTTTTCTTTTACGTTTTTTGTTTCTTTAACCCTTGATAGGAGGTAGAGCATTATGTTATGTGTTATCGTTATTTTTAACATTCTTCAGTCAAGAAACATTGAGGGGCTTACAAAAAATTGGAACTTTAACTATTATCAAAATTTGCAATAAGGCAATTGCAGTTGAAGTTGTAGCTATTTGGTTTGTGGTGATTGCAACACTTTTGCAATTGCAGATGCATCAATCACTTTTTACTTTTTTAGGCACAAAAAATGGCTATCAAATTGATTTCAAGTCATTTTGCGAGAAGCGATTTATTTTTGCTAAGCTGGAAAGTTTAAGCGATTTATTTTTGCTAAGCTGGAAAGTTTGTATGATGATGAAACAAACCAAAAAGCTTTAACCATATTTTACAAATTGCATTTGCAGTAGTAGATGCATCTTTGTGTACAAAATAAACAACAAATTCTGGGCTGTCACAACAGTTAAAAAGAAGGGGGAAATGTGTCCAGGCCCCAAAAACATAAACTTCATGTCACGAAGCCCTTTGTATTTTACCCCATGTGGATAAGCCCCAAATACACATAGTATTATTTGTGACGAGACCCTAAAGGATCAGATTTCAAAAAAACCCAGTGGAAGTTACAAATTTGCTCATTTGATAGGACTGAACTCGATTATTATGCTCCTCCCTGTTTATTCTCAATTTCTCCATCATTAATCTCATCTCTCTCTCTCTTACCCCCTCTATCTCTTAACTTCTCCTCTCTCACTTCCGTCATGGCCACTGAAAATGATCAGACCATGGGGAGGCCGTGAAAGACGAAAGCGAGGACAGTGATCATGGAGTCAGAGATTAAGGACGTGATCAGGCCCGAGGGCTGGATCGTCTAGGACGGGGCCGACTTCCATCAGACCTGCTATTATACCGAGGATAACAATAGGTGGCCCAACGACGACCCCATGCCTAGGGCCGAGTGGGTCAAGAAGCACGAGCCCATCAATAAAGAGGCGTCCCTCTTCTTGATCGAGAACTGGCTGTGGGACGTCACCTGGCTGAGGGACACCGGAGCCAAGTTCATCGACGGCTTCGTCAAAGCTAGTTAGTTTAATCAAATCGCTAGCTAGGTTGTTAATTAAATGCTCGATTGACTTAGACCCGTCGTGCATCAAGCACGTTGGGTTTTAATTTGTTGCCTTGAATTTTTATTAATTGTTTTGTCATGGAATTTTTTTTTAAAACATTTTATTTGTAATTGTTTTCAAAAATTATAAGTGAACAGTGAGGTGAATTCCTCTCAACTTTTATTGTTGCTATTGCTATTTTATTATCAGTTCTTTCTTTAATTTGTTGTGGACGTGGTCGAAGCGCTTACTGGGACTAAGATCGCAAGGCAACAACATCAAACAATAATAGAAAAGAATTATGTGTGTTAGTTCTAACTTTCAGCTAGTGTTATTTCTAATATAAGCGTTAGTTCTAGTGGTGTGTTAGTTCTTGTTGAGCCCCTGTTAGTTCTAGTTGTTATCGTGTTAGTTCTAACTGATGTCATGTTAGTTCTAACTTTCAGCTAGTGTTATTTCTAATATAAGCCTTAGTTCTAGTGGTATGTTAGTTTTAGTTAAGCTCCTGTTAGTTCTGGTGGTTCTCGTGTTAGTTTTAGCCAATATCATGTTGGTTCTACTTTCAGCTAGTGTTATTTCTAATATAAGAGTTAGTTCTAGTGGTATGTTAGTTCTAGTTGAGCCCCTGTTAGTTCTAGTTGTTCTCGTGTTAGTTCTAACTGACGTCATGTTAGTTCTTAGTTCCAGCTAGTGTTATTTCTAATATAAGTATTAGTTCTAGTGGTATGTTAGTTCTACTTGAGCTCCTGTTAGTTCTGATGGTTCTCGTGTTAGTTTAAGCTGATTTCATGTTGGTTTTACTTCCAGCTAGTGTTGGTTCTAATATAAGTGTTAGTTTTAGTGGCTATGTTAGTTCTAGTTGAGCCCATGTTAGTTCTGGTGGTTCTCGTGTTAGTTCTAGCTGATGTCATGTTAGTTTTAACTTTCAACTAGTGTTATTTCTAATATAAGCGTTAGTTCTAGTGATATGTTAGTTTTAGTTGAGCTCCTGTTAGTTCTGGTGGTTCTTGTGTTAGTTTTAGTTGATGTCATGTTGGTTCTACTTCCAGCTAGTGTTTGTTCTAATATAAACGTTAGTTCTAGTTGCTATGTTAGTTCTAGTTGAGCCCATGTTAGTTCTGGTGGTTCTCGTGTTAGTTCTATCTGATATCATGTTAGTTCTAACTTTCAGCTAGTGTTATTTCTAATATAAGTGTTAGTTCTAGTGGTATGTTAGTTCTAGTTAAGCCCCTGTTAGTTCTGGTAGTTCTTGTGTTAGTTCTAGCTGATTTCATGTTAGTTCTACTTCCAGCTAGTGTTGGTTCTAATATAAACGTTAGTTCTAGTGGTTATGTTAGTTCTAGTGGTTATGTTAGTTCTAGTTGAGCCATTGTTAGTTCTAGTGACTATGTTAGTTATAGTTGAGCCCTTGCTAGTTCTTGTGGTTCCCGTGTTAGTTCTAACTGATTTCATGTTGGTTCTTCTTCTAGCTAGTGTTGGTTCTAATATAAGCGTTAGTTCTAGCGGTATGTTAGCTCTAGTTGAGTTTATGTTAGTTCTGATGGTTCTCATGTTAGTTTTAGCTGATTTCATGTTAGTTCTAACCAGTGTTATCGAGGCGCAAAGCGCAATGCCGCAAATGTCCCTTACGCGCACCATACGCAAAGCGCACAACGAGGCGCGCGCCTCACTAATTGAGGTGCATAACTCAACCTAATATTTGCCAACATCATAAGATAGAAACATATAAGCAACATATTAGTTACCTACATCCAAATTTATGAGAATATCAACTTAAATCATCAAATTATGCTAACTGAATTTTTAAAGTAATAAAAAAGATACAAGAAACATGTATTTAAATCATCAAATTAAGTGATTAACAATTATGAGCATATGTTTATAAATTGTCACATAAAAGACTAAGAAATATAATTAACAAACATGATTGTTCATAATTTTCTAGTTAGTATTCTTAATTGATATTTGCTACTTAGCATGAAAAGATGAAGAATGAATGTAACAATTACATATTTACATGTTCATAATTTGCTAGTTAGCATGCTAATTAGAGAAGGAAGTTACAATTAGCAAACAAGTATACTAAATTACTAATTATTGTTTCCTTTTTATTGGTTAAACATGAAAAGATGAAAATAGATTAGCAACTAGTAAGAAAGAGTATATTACATGATATAAATATGTAATTATGTAAATTATTTTAAAAAAATAGAAGAAAGAGTATGTTACATAACGCAGGTGTGAGGCGCACGTGAGGCGCGCGCGAGGCGCGCGCCTCGCTGCGTGCAGCGCCCCGCCTCGCGTGCGGGGCGCATTTCCCCCAGGCCGAAGCGCCCCGCGCCCGGGGCGCGCCCGAGGCGCGCGCCTCAATAAGCCTGGTTCCAACTTCCAGCTAGTGTTTTTTCTAATATAAGTATTAGTTCTAGTGATATGTTAGTTCTAATTGAGCCCATGTTAATTCTAGTGGTTTTCTAAGAGCCCCAAGATTCAAGGCCCAATCAAAGACCTTTAAATATATATTGTAGTTGTAGGGGTTTGAACTCTTAACCTCTTTTCCAAATTACCAAGCTTTACCACTAGACCAAGTAGCTAAAGTATTAATGTTAGTTCCACTTAAAGTTAACTTTTACTTGTCATTAGAACTAACATGAAATAGTTAGAACTAACATGAAATAAGTTAGAACTAACATTAAATAACTTAGGACTAACATGAGTTATTGCTCATGGTAGAGTTTAAAAAAGGGCGAGAAATTTCCCTCAATTTTTTAAATTAGATTGCATTAATGTGACGTGACTTTTCATGTTTTTGGGAACCAGAGGCGTCTAGGGAAGATAAGTGGAGGGGCAATATCGGGTTTTTTTCCAAAATACAATTCCTTTTTTTTTGTACTGCTGACGTGGAGGGGCCTTGAAACATTAAATGTTACTTTTTAGGGCTGAATCACATGAGCCAAAATACAATGGGCTGGGTCACATGGAGTTCCTACTTTTAGGGCCCCGACATAATTTTCCCTAAAAAGAAATTTGTTTTGTTTTGTTTCTAATGAAGGGATTTGCCCATCGAGGTTTGTTTTTTGCTAGAGAGACAAGGAAGTCCGCTTACACAGTTATGAGGATAAATGCCAGGGGACAAGCATTGGTCATAGCTGCAGTAATGTGAACTGAAGGTGTGCATGTGGGTGGAGATGATGGTTTGGCTAGTGGTATATAGCTATGGTATAATTGCTAAGATTAAAGTGAATAAAGGATTATCTGGTTTCTGGTAGCTTCCTACTGGTAGCTTCATACATGGTTTGGCTAGTGGTATATATCTATGGTATAATTGCATCTCAATTATGTTACCTTTGAATAATGCCATAATGGAATCATGAATAGTGCGGAATATAATGCTGGTCTATATGATTTGGCTCTAATACTGAATTGTTCAGGGTGTAGAGCTTCTCTTGCAACTATCTTCTTATGAATAAATGGTGACATGCATGAGGGGTGTACATATAATTAGAAGCGTTATTTTTTCCTTATTTTCCTTAATTAGATGTATCCTCTGATAATTGCATGCCCTAATTTTTTTGTATCTCGTTACTAGTAGGATATAATGCTCAATTTCTTCTCTCGAAAATGTTAAGAGTATCAATTAACCATATGCATGCACATACCTTTAAAACCTTCCATGACACTGACTCCCTATACTAAGTTTTTGTGGTATTCTCTAATAACATTTGATCAAAAGTTGTTCATGTT